CCAGATGTCACCATGACTGATGGATTTGTTCATTTGCTTGTAGGCATGAGGGACTGCTGCTCACACCTTAAGTCTGTTCATCCTTCACTAGATCTCAATGTGGTTATGAGCACCATGCCCCATACACAATTTTCAGTTCTGTAAGCCCCCACTGAGACTAGTGTTATAGCTATTACCATCAGAAATTCATCCAGTTGTTACTTTTAAGAGAATTTTAATACTCGCAACTGTATTCCTTCTAAGTCATTGTCAACTCAGCCAGTGTGAAACACGAGGCTTGAAGGCTGATCAGGATCTCAGCACAGCACCTTACGACTCTCAGAATCTCCATTTAAGAGACTCTGTGAGAAATAAATTCCGTTGGTCACAGGGAGTGGAAGGGAAATTAAGAACCTAAATGCCTTTGTATCCTTCAGCAGGTCAGAGTCTCTCTGGCTGCTCTCCATTCTGAATGAAATAGTTCAGCTGAGGTGAATCAGAGCCGCTGAGCCGCTGCCGATAGACACGTCTGCAGGCCTGCTGCTTTTTGGCAGATGTTTCATTCTGGTCTATCTCTGTGGAACACCCTTGTCGCCTTATCAGGCTAACCCTCTACCAAGGTCAGAGTAGGGTGGGTTTTTGTGTTTTTTTTTTTCCTTCTGAGATACCAATTACGTAGTTTTATTTCTTGGTGAACCCCATTGCAGATGTTTTCTGCAAGTATGATCCCTACAGGCCGATGCTTGCGTGCTGCCTTGCTCTCTTGCCTGCCATGATACAGCGTCCTTGGAGGAATGTCTCAAAGAGATAACATAAAGAAGGAAACATCTCACAAAATGTGACGCTACGTACTCCACGTTTCACAGAAGTGACAGCTTACCCTAACTGAACTCTTTAGCCTGTCAGGCAGGGAAGCCCATCCTTGCATAAGAAGACAAGGCTAATCCCTCAGCATCCTCCTAAGAGCCTTTTTTGTGCCATTAATAGTGCATGGTGCTCAAGATATTTATTTTTTTTTCCTGAGTAATGCTTCATCTACTTTGTCTCCTCAAGGCCTGTTTTCTGTCATACAGATGTCTGTGTATACACAAAAGCTGACAAAGCATTAACATTAATGTATATACTGTACATATATTTACATATGCTCATACCTACAAGGTCATATACCCTTGCATGGCTGCTGTAGGCTGAAACAAAATCGTGGCTCTCTTTCTGCCAAAGCAATGTGTGTGCAAGAGGGCTGTCCTCAAAGGCAGGTGCTTGAAATGACCTGCTGCTACGTTTTTGTTTGATGGAACCTCAAATAGAACTAAATTTCTTAAGTTTTCATCTCTGGCTGTCCCTCATGCCGTACTGAACACGTTATTTCAGCTGCTGGAAGAGGCTTTGCTGTCAGTGGCTTCCATGAAGAACATTTTCTCATTCTGCACTTTCTCAGAGTAACAAACTTTAGGGGGGTATTTGTCTTACCCCACTAATTCGTATGACAATAAGGACTTCATTCTAACTCATGAAAGGACCTTGTAGTTCTGCCGTTTTGATTATTTCTTTGGTAGGTTTATTGCTTTGATGAGATTTATTAGTCTGCTCTGTGCAGAGAGAACATCCTGTGGGTGCTAAGTAAGTAGCAGTAATTCCACAGCATTACTGCAAAAAATTTGGTGTGGATGCTGCCGCTTCCTGAAAAATAAAAGGTATGAAGTGGTCCACAGTATTATTTACAGAGCTATTCCTTTCTGTGTGGGAAAGGTAACTCCCTGGTGACTTGTCTTTACATAGAGGAGTGAAGTGTGGCCTTGGTAAAGAGCTGTCCCAGATGTGTTTCCAAACAGCCCGAGAAAGTGTGAAGGGAGACAAATTGAGTCCACCTTCTTTATCCAAGGAATCCCACAGACATAAATAGAACAGTTTGTGGGGTCATTTGGCTTTAGAAATTAGTGCTGCTAATACTTACATCCACCTAACTGAGAAAATGTTGTGGGCTCATTTAATAGCAGTGCAATGTAATTACTGGATGGTATTAGTGTAACTTCTCCAGTAGAGTGTAGAAGGTTGAAAACGGTTACCACTTTTTAATCTAGGCAAAGTAGCTCCAAATTTGTCTCGTCATAACCTTTCAAATAACTGTCCAGTAGAAAAAAAAGTTACATTTTCAAGCTATGACCTCGCGGGCTGTCACACATCTATGGAGACCAGGTTACTGATGGAGATGGGGTTGAGTAGGATGAACCTGTAAGAAAAAAAAATGTGTTTTCCCAGATTCCTGGCTTCACCTTGCGTCTGAAGCTGTGCTGTATAGCAAATAAATACGTATTTCCAGGATGGTGTACACTAATGCTAATTTGAAAAGGAAGGGAGCTAAGGATGAGATGCTCAAATATGGATCAGAATTTCCCTGGCCCTCAAAAAAAGGGGATGGAAAGATTGGACTTCTGTCATCAGTGTAGCCTGAATCAATGTTCGTGGCACACAGGACAGGGAAGTTCCCAGTGTGAATGTTGCTCTGATTCTCAACTTTTACTTGGCAGCATTTATTCGTGGTTTAAAAAAGCTTACACGGGGAAAAAACCCGAAGCTCTAACATTTCTACTTTGTCTTTTAAGTTTTAATTTTAAATTTTATTTCTTTGAAAAGGCTGAGAAGTATTTTTTTTAAAAAAATAACTGCTTAATGTAGGCTAGAAGAAGAAGAGCTGTTCTGTAATTAAGCCTGCTGAATTTGTGTTCATTTACACTAATCTAATTATTACTTTCTTTGAATGCTCTGCTGTGAGTCAAAATAAGCTAGTGCTGGATTTGAGAACCACAGAATGAAAAAAGTAAGCAAAAACCGCAAAGAGATTTTTTCTGCATCTTTTGAGTTTTATGAGACTCTAGCAAACTGTACAGCAATAACACTGCAAATGGATTTAAGGAGATTGCATGGTTCTGCTTTTCAGCATGCTTTCCATCGATTAATAATGGCAAATTAATCTGTGCTGCGCTAGTGCTTTCTGGGGTTGAGGAATGGTGGGACCTCAGTCCATTTGTACCTGCAACGAGCAGCAGGTCCATCAGCCAAAGGAACTGAAACTGAAACACTGCAGCTCCATGGCATCATTTTTCAATGAAACATGATATTGTGTGGATTAAATGATTTTGCATCTAGTAAAGACATAGCAACCAGTAACTTCATTTTCAGAAGGAACTAATGCACGTTCACAGTCACCATTCTGAAAAAAAGTATTCTGATTTGTAGTCCTGTACTCGAAACAGTTACGCTTCTTGGCAACTTGCACATGCAGAAACATGAAAGTAGAATAAGATATGTTCCTATTTAATTGCTTTAAGTAGCCATTCTTCTTTGTATCGCATAGTTTGGCAGTAGGTAGGGCAAGTCTTGGTCTGTTGGCTGTTCAGTGTATTGGAAATTACAAATACCGCAGTGGAACATACATTTACATTTTTGAAATAGAAATCTCCCAACATGTATTTCTAAATATACTTACCAAAGAAGGAGCCCCAGGCAAATGCTAGATTTGTCCACTGAACCCAAATTTTGCATGTGTAAGGCACACCACTGGAAACTAAGGTGTTATATATAAATCTTATATTTAACTTCCACATATTCCAGTTTTTCAGTCAAATCCTTTTCACCACTTTGAGTTCCCCATTGCCAAGTACCCACGGCCATCGTTGTCCATGCTTGCGTATAATCAGAATTATTCAAACCTGAACAGACAGTGACCTTCTCCTATCTGCACTTGATGTATATTTTCCACACATGCACATGTTGTGGTAGCGTCTAGACAAATTGCAGACCGAAAGGGAAGCATCTTTACTCCAAGGAACCATTTTATTTGTGGCACAAACATGGAGCACACTTATATGTAATATATGATGTCAACACTTTTCTGTCACTTTATTTGATGTATATATATTTATGTGTATATATATATAGAGAGAGAGAGAAATTGATTTCTTAAGATACATAACGCTTCAAATTACATTTTAAAATATTTGCTTATTTTTAAACATTTGCATCTTAAATGTTTAATTGTGAATTTGAGATGCTTAGCCAAAAAAAAAAAAAAACCAAAACACAAACCAGCGTGAAACCTGGCTCTGATAACTTAGATAAATAGCTCTATTTAATGGAACTATTTGTTAATGTTCTGTGCTTTGTGCCGTGCTGGAGGAAACATTACCTGTGCCATTTTGTGGCGATTGGGCTTGATCCTGCGTATCGTAGTGGTGGTTGGCCACAGTTTAAGTGCAAGGTTAAAATAAACGAGCGGAATAAGGGAGCTCAGGGGAACTGGCTCCTGTTTAATGGAAAGTGTGTAATGGCAGTCAGTGGAGAGCATAAGTAAATGCCTCTCGCTTCCAATCCAGATATTAAAAAAAGGCAATGCAGGCATTGCCATTCTCACCACCATTTTTTCCAAACTCCTTCTTGAGGAGTAAAGGATGGGAGGGAGGAGAGGCTTGGGCTGGCATCTCTGGGACGCCCTGTGCCCTGCCTGGGGCTGTCCCTTGCTGCAGCCCCCGGCCAACAGCTGTCTGGCTTTCATTTTGGGGGAAAAAAAAAAGCATTTTGCTCCATCCAGCCCACCCTGGGATTTGCAGGATTAAGGTACCTTTATAAAATGAAGGGGCAGAGTAAGTGAAAGATGATTTGGTCTCCGAGTGTTCTTTCATAGAGTAACTCTATTCGGGCCTCTTCTAAAGCCTATTCTTGGCCTTTTATTTATTTTGTGACAGAAAAGTTACATCATTAGCTCCCCCCTTGTCACCCGTGATACTAGCATGCCTGTTAAAATTGCTGATGAGACACTCACTGTGGAGTCACTCAGGGGTTCATGTGTTTCTTCTTGATGCTGGCGTGTGGCAGCGATGTGCCCCTGAGGATGGCCTGGAGTAGCATGGCAGCATGCAGGGCAGTGAACTGGGAAGACCTGAGATGGACATTCTGGCCTGAAGTGGGACTCGTTAGCCACAGGTTATGGGAGGTGATGCTAACGGGGTCTCTTTGCTTTGCAGTGCTGCAAGGAGGAGCCCTGGATGGAGTCTACAGGCTGGCCCAGTTCCACATTCACTGGGGATCCTGTGAGGGCCAAGGGTCTGAGCACACCGTGGACGGTGTGAAGTATGATGCAGAGGTAGGATGTGCTCTACCTTCTCTAGCCTTTTGTGTATAATGATGTATTTATTTAGTTATTTAAACTTCTCCACCGTGGTAGCAGCTTCTCTACAAGTCTCCACAGGGCAGGAGATTGTAGGGGGGTTTCCATAGAAGATATTGGTACAATGGTCTCTTCTCACAGGTAATTAACAATAGAACGAGAGGGAATGGCTTCAAGCTCCAACAGGATAGGTTTAGATTGAACATTAGGAAGGAATTTTTCACAGAAAGAGTGGTCAGACCCTGGAATAGGCTGCCCAGGGAGGCGGTTGAGTCACCGTCCCTGGCTGTGTTTAAGGGACGTTTAGATGGGGTACTGAGGGATATGGTGTAGGGGAGGACTTTGTAGAGTAGGGGAGATGGTTGGACTCGATGATCCCAAGGGTCTCTTCCAACCTCAATGATTCTATGATTCTATGAATGCCTCCTCAGGACCTACTCCCTGCAATAGCAGAGATTAGAATTGGAGGACTCGTAATATTATTTTTTTTTTCCAGCTACTTCATATCAAAGAGGCTACAGAAGCAGAAAAACCCACATTAATTATCCCTGGTTTTTTTCCCCCTGCTTTCTCCATGACTTATTAAAGTTATGAAGAAATAGAATCACAGCACCTCTGTACTCACACATCCCCTTTTCCTGCCTTCAAAATGTAACATCAGAGACATTTAGATAAACAACAGAATAATTTTGGGGCAGACCCTTTCATCTTTTGGTAGCAAAGAAACAAAGGGAGCTGTGAAGAGGGCACATAGCAAAGTGAGACTTTGCAGGCACAATTCCTAATATCCTTAAGGCTCCAGATGTCCCTTGGACCTGTTACAGTCTCCTTGCAGAAATGGGAGTGACTTAATGCTTTGCATCCTACCTTTTCCTGTCCCCTGTTTAGAAATCTGTGATGCTGTGGCAGACTTTTTAAAACCCTTCCATAGATGCACATGGACTGAACAAGCCTGTGATTTGCATTAACAGATAAAAGAAATGGCTCCACGAATGCATTGGAGCTGCTTTTTCATGAGATAAAGTAGCCTTTGTCTTAACTGAGGAACGTGCCGTTGCCGTACGTCTGTTCACAGCACCACTTGCTCAACTTGACTTGCAGATATGGGGAAACAGCCAGATAAACTTCAATTAGAAGTAACTCAGAAATCAAAAATAAAGCAACGTCCTGGCTAACCTGACCTGGACAGCAATTTCACATTTGTTTAAAAGACTTTCCAGAAAAGGATAGGATGCTTCTTTAAAAACTCTGTAGATGGCAGGTCAGATCTGTGGTTAATGCCTCTTTTCCCTGACACTGGGCAAATCATGTCTGTCAGTGTTGATAGGAACTCCAGGATATATAGCATTAAAATACCGTATCAAAGTCCTGCAGGCTGCATGCAGGAAAAACTCATGCTGAAAATACCAGGAGCTTCACCAAACTAAAAGCAGAACGATACAGCCAGTTTGCATTTAAAACTCATTTGGGAATAAGAGTGACAAGCAAAATAAAATGCATGACAAATTTTGCATAGATTAAACTTGAAAGCAGATGAATGATTCAACAAATTCTTAACTGCGCACAAAAGTTTTTAAATCTCAGCAGCAAAACACTCTCTGCTTTTAATGTTTAATAAATTACTTCCCTGCATCCTCATTTGTAAAATATTGTTGATGGAATGTCATCTTCATAGTGCTTCTTGTTTTCTTGCTCCTAGCTCCATATTGTTCACTGGAACGTAAAATATGGTAAATTTGCTGAAGCTGTGAAGCATCCTGATGGTTTGGCTGTGGTAGGCATCTTCATGAAGGTTAGTTAAACTTTTTATTTTGTATTATTTGGATGAGTCTGGTGTGTTCATTGTGTTGCAGGGTGACTTAAGAGCCTAAATTGTAGAATAAGCCAGCACTATGCTATATTGCATAAACTCATAGCAAACTAGGTGGTTCTCCAAATTCTTGGCTTTCTCTACTGTCCTCATACTATCTACATATAAAAATTGTACAGCAGCATGGAGTCCATCCATCCATCCATCACTATGTGAGCCTATAGCAGTATGTTTGCCCTCACCACAACAGTGACACTGCCATAACTCTTTACCAGTGAAAGGTGATGTACATAACTGACAAAACCATGTGTGTGTGAATCTGCAGTAGGACCAGCCTAAATAATACCTATTTTCCTTTTCCCGTTGTCGTTAAAAGTCCAGAGCATTTTGTCTTAAATTGTCTTCACAGCGAGTTGGAAAAGGTGATTGCTCCCCAGCAGTGTGCATTCTCTCCTGGCCTTGCTGTGTTTTATAAGGAGGGTGACTTCTATGCAAAAAAAAAAAAAGAGAACAGCTCAAGGCCAAAAATAAATCCACACACTGTAAATGAAAATAACTTTATTCTGCCCAGTGTCCTTGCCTGACCTATTTGTACTGACTGTCAACTGGAATGATTTTACAGAGACTTTTTACAGTTCCAGTCACTTTTGCTTTGGTTGTCCTGTTATGTAAAGAAGTGTTGCTAGCAAAATGCACTATAAAATGCTTCTGTGAGAACTGTAACAGGAAACTACAGGTATCATGAGCGTGCATGGTTATTTTCTTTTCATATTGTTTGTATTACAGGTAGGAAATGCCAAGCCTGAAATACAGAAAGTTGTGGATGCTCTGAACTCCATTCAAACCAAGGTAATACTTTGCTCTCTCTGTTGATTGACACCAATCACAACTGCACTGTTTTCTTCTCCAGAAAGCAGATTATTTACTTCTTCCCAGTCTGCTACATGTAGAAAATTTAAAAAAAAAAAAAAACCACAAAAAAACCCAAAAACAACCCCCAAAAAACCAAACACACAAAACCCTTTCTGCCATTAGCACTAATGCTCCTCTAATCTTAAACACAAAAGATTGAAATGAAGTTGCAGTACAGGGCAGGGAATACTAGGAATGGTGATCATTTTGTGACTGTGCTTCATCTCTGCTCATCATCTCTGTGACTATGCTTCTCTGTCTTTTAACTGCGTTGAACTTATAGGGTAAGATTCATCTTCCTAATCTAAACTACTCTTCTAGGTGCCCTTTCTAGTCGGTGGTGACAGATGCAAAAGGCACTTCCCCCCATCTCTGCATCTGGGCTGTATTTCCTTCTTCCAAGGGGGCATGCTTCTCTTGGCTGTTTCTAGAGGGAGTCCAGATAAGCATTATATATCCTGATCAAACTTAGGGGGGGAAAAATAAACCTTTCTGTGATTTAAATATTGTTTGAAGTGGGCATTTAATGAGAAATCAAAAGTACTTCCTGGGTAATTAGATGCCTTCATACTGGCTAAAGGCCTGTGCTGATGACAAATGTGCAGAAAAAGTGAAATGGCCAGGAAAAGTAAAGAATGAGTCTACGCTGTTATCTTTGTCATCAGGCTCCCCTTGGGATAAATGGATATTGCCATTTACCACAATAGGGTTTCCAACAGATCTCTCAGGTTCTCTCTTTCCAGCGCAATCAGTGCACGTGGCATCTGAAAACTCATTGTTTGTTCAAGCAGGGTCGGTGTGTTTCTCTAGGAGTGAGGAAGGTAAATTCAACATTTGAAATGAGCAACAATGTCTTGAAAGTCTTATAACGTAAGAAACATATTGCTGAAAGCCTTCAACCTGAAGGTACTGTGGGGAGGCACTCAACACAACACGCCAAACTCCCTTTCTGCCTTTCTCCAGACGTGGAGTTTCCTGCAGCAGACTTTACTTATGCGAGCCCAGCATGTGTGTGTGGTCTCTCTCCTGGCATTAGCCCACCTGCTTTCTTTATTTGTAGGGGAAGCAAGCTTCCTTCACAAACTTTGACCCCACTGGACTGCTTCCTGCCTGCAGAGACTACTGGACATACCCTGGCTCACTGACCACCCCCCCGCTGCTCGAATGTGTCATCTGGCACGTTCTAAAGGAGCCCATCACCGTCAGCCCCGAGCAGGTAGGTCTCCCATGGATGGTGCCAGAGTCGTATGGATTGCTTTGGTGCAGCCCTCCTGCTGATCTGTGAAATGTTACTGCAGAGCTATGCAGGGCATTAGCTAGCATAGAGTCATAGAATCATCTGGGTTGGGAGGGACCTCCAAAGCTCATCTAGTCCGACCCCCCCGCAGTCAGCAGGGACACCCCCAACTAGACCAGGTTGCCCAGGGCCTCGTTGAGCCTCACCTTGAATATCTCCAGGGATGGGGCCTCAAGCACCTCCCCGGGCAACCTGTTCCAGTGCTCCACCACCCTCACAGTAAAGAACTTTTTCCTAATGTCTAATCTAAATCTGCTTTTCTCCAGTTTAAAGCCATTACTCCTTGTCCTGTCATTGACAGCCTTTGCAAACAGGCTCTCCCCAGCCTTCTTGTAGGCCCCCCTCAGGTACTGGAAGGCCGCTATTAGGTCTCCCCTAATCACACATCAAAAAATATCCATATCTGAAGTGGTTATCCTCTTCTGGCAGGACTCCACTTCTGTGCAGGGATGTGGAGTTGGCTGTAAAATGGAAGGCATTTGGTCCAGGGAAAATTTGGGGAGTTCTAAAAAATCTAATTAAGCTTTCCAGGTACCCAGTTAGAGCTGCCATGTGGTAAAAAATGTGGGAAATTTGTAGCGTGCGTGGAAGGACCACTTGCACACGCAGAGTTCATGTAGCATGTGTTGTGAGCATCAGCGGGTTTGCTGGACGCGTGCACATCACCGGGCTGGGTGTGCTTGCCCTGAAAATACTGGGTTTACCAAACATCTGAAGGAAGAGCACATATTCTGCATCCGCAGTCTTGCACCATAGATCTGGAGTCGGTTGGTTGCTCTTCCAGCATTTCCAGGACACAAAGCTCGTTTGACAAGTTCTGTTCAGCACAGAACAGACCGGGAAATCCCACGCAGAATTGAGACAGTCCTAACAGAACTGTGTTGTTTGGAAGAGGCAAAACTTGCAGATTCCAGAAGTCTGCTGCTTAAAAAAAAAAAAAATCCTCTGTTCTGTTGAGCAGCTTGAGGAGGACAGGAGTCTTCCTAGTAGGAAGGACTTTGTGCAGATTAAATAGCTCCTGGCCCTAGCTTTTTGCAGCATCCATTAATGAATTACATAGAGGGAAGATTCCATCCTTGGGTGTGCATCTCGGTGCTTGGGAGTTATAAATACAATCTAGAGCCTATAAATATAAACTAGCCCTGAAGGGCTTTAGTTTACCTTTCAAACTCTTAAATCCCTTTGGGGATTTGTGAATGGCAAACGTGCCAACAATATACAGATAATTCTAGGGGGTTTATTCTACTGATGTGAAAAAAAAAAAGTGCAACTGAGCTGTTGTGAGACTTAATAAATGACAAGGAAGAATGTTTGGAAATGAATATTACAGCGATGAAGTTGACACTGTTTACTTGTTTAAAACTACTGGTATTGCTATTGATAAACCAAGGCTTGCATATATGGTTTTATTGTCAGTTAGGAGCACATTCACCAAAATAGAGTTGTTTTTCCTACTACACCTACTTTAACCACCCACAAGTGGTAAAAGACACCACCTGTTTCTCCCACACGCACCCTTCCATATTACCATCGACACGTCAAAGATGGGTTTGAGATCAAAACAGAGTGTGTGGCAGCTTGCCTTTTCATTCCCAAACTGATCAAAACAAGACACCATCGAGTAGAGTATTGACACTGGGTTTAAGTTGAGTCGGTTTTCCAAAGATAGATAAAAGCTGGCTATTACGGCAGGGTGTAGTGAGCCTGTTATCGTTTGCTGTAGTGACACAGCAGTTCCTGGCAGAGGTTGAGCTCTGAACTTTGTTCTGGTCGGTTCTGAAGGTAAAGTCCTCTCCTGGGCTGGTGACTGCTGGGGAGCCTTCCTCCTTGAATGAGGGAAAGCCTGGCCTGCAGCCCAACTTGCACAGAATCCTGTATCCCACCTAAATATTTCTGTCAGCAGTTCCAGCCATCTCTGTGAGATCGCGTTTGGGGCGGGTTATTACTTTGGCACAGTCTTTTTCTTAGTTTTGTAGACGCCCACTTTGATATCAAGATGCTTTTACTACATCAGACTGTGTACACACCAATTTGACTTCAGGAGCAAGCACTAAAACCTTACAGTGTGCTCCCATCGGTGCGGGACAGTTTTCCCTCTCACAGTATTTGGAAATCAAGGTATCTTAAATGAATTTGTACCAAGCTGTGTGGTGTTGTCAATACACCAGAGGGACGGGATGTCATCCAAAAGGACCTGGACAGGCTGGAGAGGTGGGCCCAGGTGAACCTCATGAGGTTCAACAAGAGCAAATGCAAGGTTCTGCACCTTGCGCCGGAACAATCCTCGCCACCAATACAAACTGGGGGGTGAGGTATTGGAAAGCAGCCCTGAGGAAAGGGACTTGGGGGTGCTGGTGGATGAGAAGCTGGACATGAGCAGGCAGTGGGCAGCTGCAGCCCAGAAGGACAATCGCATCCTGGGCTGCGTCAAAAGATGCGTTGCCAGCAGGTCCAGAGAGGGGATTCTGCTACTTTACTCTGCTCTGGTGAGACCTCACCTGGAGTATTGTGTGCAGGTCTGGAGCCCTCAATATAAGAAGGACATGGACCTGATGGAGCAGGTCCAGAGGAGGGCCACAAGGATGATCGGGGGATGGAGCACCTCTGCTACGAGGACAGGCTGAGGGAGCTGGGGTTGTTCAGCCTGGAGAAGAGGAGGCTCCGGGGAGACCTAATAGCAGCCTTCCAGTACCTGAGGGGGCCTACAGGAAGGCTGGGGAGAACCTGTTTAGAAAGGCCTGCAGTGACAGGACGAGGGGCAATGGCTTCAAGCTGGAGGGGAACAGATTTAGATTGGAGATGAGGAGAGGGTTCTTCACTGTGAGGGTGGTGGAGCACTGGAACAGGTTGCCCAGGGAGGTGGTTGAGGCCCCATCCCTGGAGATATTCAAGGAGAGGCTCAACGAGGCCCTGGGCAACCTGGTCTAGTTGGGGGTGTCCCTGCTGACTGCGGGGGGGTCGGACTAGATGACCTTTGGAGGTCCCTTCCGGCCTGGGCAATTCTATGAGTCTATGAATTTGCCTGCTTTAATTTGACCCAAGGGTAAGGTCGATTTTTACTTTTTTTTTTTTAATATCAACTGGACACACAAAATCCAACTTTCAAAAGAGCCAAACCAGTACAACTTGCAAAGGATTCTGAAAGGGTTTCTGGGCCAAGGACAGACAGCTCTTTATGCACAGAGTTCAGAAATTGGGGGCCTAGGTCTCTGGTTTCTGTGCTTTCTTAGTTCTTGTTGCTAGGGCATGTTGTGGAGAGGAGAGGCTGGGTCAGGGGCAGGTGTGGATGAAATGCAGAGACACGTGGGTGGTGACACCATCTCTAGACCATCGGCGCTGGTGGTGCTTTGAACTGGGCCTCTGCCTCACGCCCAAGGTGTAGAATTCAAAGGGTCCCGCTGAAACGAGAGTGCTCATTTGAGGGTGTTTGTGCCTTTTTTTTTCCACAGATGTGCAAACTCCGTGGCCTTTGCTTCAGCGCCGAGAATGAGCCCGTGTGTCATATGGTGGACAACTGGCGCCCGTGTCAGCCTCTGAAGAGCAGAGAAGTCAGAGCTTCCTTCCAGTAACCTCGGCGCTGAGCGTGCTAGAAATTGCTGTGTTTGTGAGGAGCCCCTTTTTTTGCTAAGCACAAATCAAACCTTTGCCGCGTGTGCCCTGGCAACATCTTGTCTCCCAGATCCATTCTTTCTTTCGCTCCAGCTGATGATGATGTGGAAGGCGCTTGGCCAAATAGGACAAATAGGGTTCTTTAAGGTGTGTGGGGTTGGGGGAGGCAAGGGGTGGTGGGGGCTGTGTGCGTTTGGGTGACTCTTTCTGCCACCGACACTTTGGTGATAACAAACAGGGTGTTGGCTTCTTGGGAGAAGGGATGGTGGTAGCAAAATAAGCCATTTTAAGAAACCTCATCCACAGGTATACGATAGTACATGTAACTAACGATAACTTGAAGCTTTGTGAAAAGCACAGGAATATACAGAATCTAGATACGATTTAGGGGTGGGTGGGGGGGGGAAATAAAGTATTTTGAGAAAGTAAAGCAAAAATGAATATTGAGAATTAGACTACTTAGATTTTAAGAAACTGACATGTAAATATTTTTGAGACCATTTTACACTTTTACCCATGCTATCAACAACCTTGATTATGTCTTAATGGTAGTGTTGGATTTTTTTTAATTAAAAATGTCCTAAATTAAGTATTATCTTTCAAAGTTGTTATTACCATAGAAATAATACAAAATATCTTTTCATTGAGATAATATATGCTCTAATTTAAAGAGGAAAATAATATTGTATTTTAGATAACTTCTCTAATAAATCTATACTTATATTTTTGCTTCCGTTATGTCATTTTAATTCAGGAAAGGAGTCACTAATGTTTGTGTCATTGTTTATTAGACATAATTACTAAACATATAGTGTGTTGGGGATTGGCTTCAGTGACACCAAAGATGGATGCAAACCTATATGGATGTGGATGTGTTAGGACATTTTCTCTAAGTAGTTCTCTGTTGACAGAAGGAAGCGTTAGTTTTGAGCAATCACTGCAAGTTATCATCTAAGTTAACTGAATAATTAAAGATCCCCTCACAAGAGTTTTAAATACGAATAATACTGAAGAATGGGCTTCTCCAAACCAGGTCTTTAAACATTGCCCTTAAATGTCAGCCCAAAAGCAAGGTGCCTTATCCTTATGCAGAACATCTATTCAGTCTCCTTCTCCAACTGGACCAAACCTTTCAAGGCTCTGTCTGTCCCCAGCAGTTGGTCTTTAGCCTCATAGCACCATATCATATGAATGATTTCAACAGAAGATTTTTATTTTTTTTTAACAGAAATTGCTGTTAACTTCCAGTAATTTCCATTGCTGGGTCCTTACTAGCTGAGTTTTTGTGTTTTGATGAATGCAGATGCAGTAGGTACCTAGATACAAATCTGTTCTAAATACACAGAATCCAAACAGCACTATAAGGAGCTGCTCTCCTCCTCAGGCTCCTGGCTGTTGTGAGAAAAGCCATCTTCAGAGCTCTCATCTCATTGGATTCTGGTCCTAAGTTCTAAGGCAATATATTACGAACTTCCTACCCCATAGCTTTGTAATTTGTAAGCTATCAGTTTTGCAGGCTCGGTTCTGAAACTCCTGGGACCTTGTAAGTGGAAAGAAATCTTTAAAGGAATGAAACCTTTTCAGAGTGCATACAAACATCTTTAGAAAACTGACAGATCTCCCTCTTTGAAAAGCTTCCCTGTTTCAAACACCCCCCTACCCCTCCAAAAAAAAAAAAAGCCACAAACCAACCCCAAAACCAGAGCAGGAAAAATAATGTGTTCCTTTGCTGCGGGTGATTTGGTCTAAGTTCAGTTTTTCTGAACAGAGCTATGAAGGTACTTGTCTCTTCCTGTGACAACTGTGCTGACCAATTCAGGTTCTTCAGGTTGAGTGGTTTGAATGCTTTCCTGACTCAAAGTGTCACCCACAGGCCAGCGTGCTCCATGTGTCCCCTTAACAATATGAGGGAGGTTACACTCCAGAATGAGAATTATAAGCCCAATACATTGTGGCTTAAAGCTGCTGAAGCAAGAAAAGAGGAAACACAGAATCACAGGATGGCTGAGGTTGGAAGGGGTCTCTGGAGGTCATCTGGTCCAACCCTTCTGCTCAAGCAGGGCCACCTAGAGCAGGTTGCACAGGACCGTGCCCAGATGATATTTGAGTGTCTCCAAAGGTGGAGACTTGCAGGCTTAATGACCCACTTATTTCAGCAGGAAACATCCTGTTGCTGAAGTGAAGTGCTTGTTAGTCACAAACACTGGACTCTTTCCTGGAATTGTGGGTGTATGCCAGAAGTTGCTCTTAAAGGGAGCAACCCCACTCTTTGTGTAATGATTAGACATTACGGTGCTCCTAAAATTAAAAATAAAATGAGAGCCCCAGATTTCCAAATATTACGCCTATATCTTGGTAACTATGATACCCTGACTACTAGGTAATAAGACTTTCTGAGATGTGGTGATCTCATTGGTACCTGTACAGCTTAAATAGCGTCCAGGCTGATCCGTGACAAGGAATGCAAATTTCTGCCTCATGGCTAGGGTAAAAACTAGGAAACGCCTGCAAAGTTCTAACCACTGCTGCAATATAAAGTTCCGTGTCTCATACTCCATCTCACTTCAAGGTTGCTTCATAAATAATAAGGAACAGCAAAGACAGCCGACGTGAGCCATATATTTATAATCTTGTTTGCACGAGCCTGTTTACCTGGAATGTTGCCAGCGCCATATGTTTGTCTTTGCTGAATATGAAGTACTCCTGTATTCAGCCAGATAACACAAGCTGGTGTTCATAAGTCATAGACGTGGTGTATGGGAAGAGCCTGCTGGACACCTTACCTGTGTGGTCTACCAGGGAACGATGGTCTTCATTTTTCTTTTTTTTTTTTTTTTTTTGCTTTTTTTTCTCAAGTGAACAGACTTAGAGAACCACCCATCAAAATCCTCACAAAACCCCCTCTCTCCAGCATAAAATGGTACTTGAGCTTATCACAAATTCACACTTTGCAGTGAGACTCCTGTCGAACTAATGGATAGCCTTTTCAAGGAAGATTGAGATGGTTGGACTAGATGATCTCGAAGGTCCCTTCCAACCTAGATGATTCTATGATTTATATATTAAGGCCAACCCAGAAATGAAGAAAAACAGTTTCCCTGGCATTCATGATCTATTTCCTGAATGGTGAATTCCATTAAGATAAAGGTGAATAGAACCATCCAGTTCTTCCTGACCTCTGTTTTCCTTCACTATTTGCTCCAATGAAGAGGTTTTAATTAGACTTTGCAATTGTTCGCCAGCAGACTTAAAACTTAACACCCATTCTAATATCACACTCACACCTGTTTCAACTCAAAAACTGCTTACTATTTCATAATGAAAAAAATATTACCACTTTGGTCATGGAATAGAAGATGATCCACTGTGGTGAACTGTGTTACTGTCATGTAGGCAGCTCGGATTAATGGGAAATCTATTCAGAAGGAAAAAAAAAAAAAAAGAAAAGAGTGAAGGCTAGTGTGTTAATTTGAAGTCATCATAAGATAATCAGCCAGCACTTTGATGGGGGAAAGAGAGAAGAATGTTCACTTGCAAACTGTTCATTTTGCACAGTTTGTGATCTTGTCTCACGCATGTCTGCCAACTCCATGTGTTACAACATTTGATGATTTCTCCACTGCTATTTCTAAGGGTTGGATGTGTCCTAGATTCAAACAGAATCATAGAATCTTAGACACATAGAATCATAGAATGGTCCAGGCTGGAAGGGACCTCCAAAGGTCATCTAGTCCCACCTCCCCGCAGTCAGCAGGGACACCCCCAACTAGACCAGGTTGCCCAGGGCCTCGTCGAGCCTCACCTTGAATATCTCCAGGGATGGGGCCTCAACCACCTCCCTGGGCAACCTGTTCCAGTGCTCCACCACCCTCACAGTGAAGATTGACATGGGCGGGTAGGCTGTGATTAGAGATGTTCCCTGGGAGATAAGATAATAATGCCCTGCATGGAGTCAGCAATATTTATAGCAGTCCAGATAGTTTATAGCAGGGTATCACTCCCTAAATGACAGCTTTAGGATTTTCTGACTCTTCAAAGAAAAGCCCTGCAAGCAACAGCAAATCTAGTGTCATAGAGACAAGCAGAGATGAAAAGCACGAGCAGGGCCTTTACTGAAAAACTCCCATGGACCCTCTGACATCAGCCACTTCCTCTTCCAGACCACAGCGTCTCGCACAGTCACGTAGCACCTGGTGACAGCGGCTCACACCGCGGGTTTGATATCTATGTAAGTCTATTTGGCAACCGGACACTCCACGGCTGTCCCCCTTCCTCTTTCAGTGTGACTGTGAAGGGCTGTGCTGCCTCCATGCCATCGATGGCGCGCTCAGGCCATGGGACTGTGAGAAACACCGACTCACATCTTAGAATTTAAAGAGGACAAAGTCACCGAAGCAAAGGTTAAAAAAAATAATAATTTATTAATACGAAACAGCGCTGAATCGGGTGCACCAAAAATAGATGCACGATGATCTTTTATCTTTCAGGTATTTTATACCTTTATCCCGGCCGCTTGAGTTTCTGTCTCCCCTCTCATTGGCTGAGAAGTTGGAGCTCACATTCTTCCCCACCGCTTGACCTATTACAGGTTTATTTTGCACTTTTCCCCATATAAGGCACACACACACTTATTCTACGAAATCATTATCCTAAACACGCCTTTGATCAGTTGATTATGCTACACGTTATTTCAGAGTCTTTGTTACCATCTACTTGGCAGATTTACCAGACTGGTTTCTTTGGCCTTATTGATACTCCCCTACCCTTTGGGTTTTTGTGTTGAAGGCCATGTTCCAGTTTGTTTCTTTTCACCTAGATAACACTCTGTGAACAAGGATCCTTTGACAGACCAAGGGCATTTCTGGGGATTAATTGGATACAATTTATTAGACTCTACTATTACTAAGGCTTCTTTGTTAGTACTATCACACTAACAATGATACATCAATAAGCTGAAGCAAAACTTAGCTTATTTCCCACAGGACTCTCCAGCCACCATCTTCCTAAAGCTATGAGTGCAACAGGCAGAGGTTCAAAGCCATGGTGGCTCCACACCAAACTGTGAGAGCTATGATGACAAAACCTTTCAGGGATCCCTGATCAATTTTGGGATGCAAGTCTCACTATTTTTTTGCCTAAGCCACAAACCAACGCCATTTCTGGTATGTTCCCAGTGTAGTAGTTCCCCAAGCTCTCATGTTCATCCAGCATTAAGCTCTTCAGGATGCTCTCTTTAATTCAGAGCTCAAAGCAACGTAGCTATGTTGCCTGAGCTGATGGACCCAGATTCTCAGCAGGGCTCAGTGTAGTTGTGTTGCTCTGAATCCCAGAATAGAGTCGGTTTTGTCCAGTGAGGATGTCAATGCACTGCAGCATACCAAATAATAAAAATATATTCTCCAAACTAGGCAGACCCAATGTTCTTAGCCAGTCCTCGTAGGAAATGCCTTCCAGCCCTTTCATCAGCTTTGTTGCCCTCTTCTCTTTGGGAAACCGCAAGATCAATCAGAAAAAAAGAGTTTCTGTAGCACTTGGGTGCCTTGAACCAGGGATAGCACAGAGAGAAATCTCTCCCTGTCTCCAGTGCTA